CACCGCTAGGAGCTAAACTGCTTAGAGCCGCCTCAGGTGAAACGCCAAAGCATCTTAAATAAATAAAACAATTTCTTTCAGTGGCATCAAGCCATCAGGGAGCTTCTGTATTTGAAGCTTTGCCAAAACATCGGCCCAGCCCTCCTGTGGAGAAAGAAATGGACCTTTGAACTCCTTGTGCAAATTTATACTTTTCTAAGTGCAGTCTTTTAGAAACAGCTATAGCCAGGGGTGCAATTAATTCTTTCCAGAAGATTTTTAGCTCTGTAAAACTCATGTATTATTTAAGCCTTACAGCTAAATCATGAATGTTATGAAGGTCCGGCTTTTTCTTTGTACACCAAAAAAAAGTTTTGGTGAAAGGTCTCTGGAAAAATCCCGCAAAACTTTCAAAAACCCCTAAATTCCTGACTACCAATAGAGAGGGTAGAGGTCCTTTCATTTCTGCACAGAGTTTGATTGTACCTGACTCTCTCCATCAGCAGGTCTCTATTTCAGTGGGGTCCTTGCTGTGCCTAGTCTCAAGTTCCTACAGCAGCATCAAGGGAACATCATCTGTAGTAAAAGCATCAGCCAGGCCACTTTCTCCTGTATCTGTACTCCAAGCAAGATTCGGGTCCCCCCAGGGATGATGCCGTGGAACACCACTGATCTGCCCTCCCAACCTGGATAAATGAAATCAGCTGGATGAAGAATCCTTATATAGAGAGACAGGTACCATTAGGAAAAAAGAAGTAAGTCTAATCTGTAGTTATATAAACATTTTTTTAGAACAAGTTATCCTGATTGAGAAAGTACCAGCTTTAAACACCTAATACCATGCATCAGCTTCGCTGCCGGCCTGCCTTTCGCCTTTAGGAAAGGCCTGAGGGAAACCAGCTCTCTGGAGCAACACAGAATCAGCTTCTCCCTGGCAGTCTCACATATTTGAATGCTGAGAAGCATGTGTAAAAATGAGGGTAGAGTTTTAGTGGCAAGAATTTCTATGGTTTTTCTTGCATTTCTGAGACCTAAACTAACTGTTTAGCAAGCAAGTGCCACCCAGCAGAAAGACACCTGCACGTGGGAGCCGTGTCCCATTCCCAGCAGGATCCCAAAGGCACAGAGTTGGTCCTCCTCCCCTCAGTAACATTCAGCTCTGGTTAGATAGCAAGTGTGTAGCTAAAGCCTTCAAGCAAATACTAAACGTATGATAAGACCTACATTTTCTAATGACCAGCCAGTTGGTCAAAAACACTTAGCTGTCTCTGAAGAAATATAACACGGATTTAAACATACCAAATGCTAGCTCCTTTGTCGCTCAACACCCACCAAATACATCGAGTATATACAAAGAGAACAGTGCAATACAGAAATGGACTGAACAGTATTCACGCCCAAGAAGTCACCTGCAGACCTAGCCAGTTCACAGCTCCCAAGAGCTTGACTTGTTAGGATCACTAATAGCACTTTTTAGGAGCCCTAGCTCTGTCTGCTTTTAAACAGAAACAGATTTTCTAGAAATCTGCATTACTGCATGTTCCAAGTGCTGTAGCTGTCAGTCAGCTTTCCATAAGTTATTACTTCTGTGTATTCGGAGCAGTTTGGGAACTGAAGGTTGTCTTGTCACTTCCACGCTCCATAAACAGTATAGATGCCGGAATATGGTAATATTTACTCCTGTTTTGCCATCTGCTTATATATGCACATAAAACATGTGACTCCCAGAATGTGGAGCAGCAGAATAACAGCCGTAGCTTTTCATCGCAAGATAAAGGTACAAAAATCAATACACATCTTTTCTTTTTAATGAAAAAGGTACTATTCCACAAAAGAAAGGAGATATATATAGTAAAAAAAAAAAAAAAAAAAAAAAAAAACACAACCAAAAAGCCCCCTCCTTTCAACAGAACATACACTCCTTAGCTTTGGCTTTTACTAAAGAGTCAGCATCTAAAAAAAAAAAAACCCAAATCCCTACCAACTTGGTTATGTAATCAGTAAAAAAAACCAAACTGAAAAACAGAGGACTAAGTTGTTTATCTTCAGAAGAAAAGATCCACCCCAGCTCTAGGTCAAATTGCAACAGGATGAATGTCCCCAAACACCCTCTCACCCGAGCACCTTGACATACCTTAGAAAAAAGCCAACTTTTAGCATTGATTTCCATACTGAAGAGTTCTGTTACTCTCCTCCTTCACACAGCCCGAGCAGAACCCACGGAAGAAAGCAGCCAGCCACTTCCTGGCACCAGCCTAAACCAGCCCCCAGACCAAGTGTTCCCACGGTGCACAAAACAAAGCGATTACAGCCCCCACCCACAAACACCTCCCCATGCAGGTGGGGCTTCTTACTCAGGTGCTTCTTGTTAAAGTCAGTGCTAAAGACAGACCTAAGATTGGGATTAATTAAACTCTGCAAGATCAACACGGCCAGTTGAAGTGTAAAGACCTTCTGCTTCCCTCAACCAACACATGAATCCAAACAGTGACCTAGTGTTTAAAACAACAGGCCACATCCACAGGCAGGCTCCTAGCCATACAAGAAAACATCCAAGGCAATTTCACCATTGCACCTTTCAGAAAGAGAGTGAAAGATGCAAAAAGCCATTTCCTGAAAGGGCAGACCTCAGCACAGATAACTCCAGACTTCATTTCCTTCATTTTATTTTGAAAAAAGCTGATAAAGGTAGATTGACTGGAGGGCTGATGCCTCTCTGCTAGTCTCCAGCCCATATGAGATAAGAATTTTGCACTCTCCCTGAGCTTAGGACAAAGATTCTTTGGATATTGAGGGGGTTTTGGTTGTTTAGTTTGCTTTCCTTCGTGCAGGGAAAGCACTGTTGTGGGTCAGGAGTTCTGGTTTAAGGCTGATCAGCAGGAGAACATTTGAAATGGTGCTGTGTAACATTTCATAGAAACCTCAAACTCTCCATGGCAAGAAAAGGATGTCAGAGCTAGATAAACATTTCTGCCCCAGGTGGTTGTTGTCTTACAGAGCATGCCATCACATTAGCTTACCAAGCAGTGCAGCTGGTTTACTGCCAGACCCCACAGACACTGCACTTCACAACTGGCACCAGCATAGTGCCTCTGCTACCACATTTCAACTAGTCATCTCATTGTTAAGCAGTTCTTTTCACTCTGACTTGGGAAACAAGTTGCCTAGAACCAGTACTTTCACCCAGAAGGGTCATACTTTTTTCCTCATGACTGTAAAAATAAAATGTGAACATTTGCTCTGTGTCCTATCACACTCCAGGGGAATTGCTGTATCTCAGGCCATGCCCTAGTGCCCATCAGATGGCTGCGTTAGGAGGCAGGTCTCGGCTTGAGCTTCAGCCACCCCACCACATCCGTCCTCTCCCCAGTTAAGGTTACATGCACACCTAAGCCCCTTTTAGTCAAAGACTGATTTAAGACACTTAGGGAATAAAACGATAACTTCTTACAGGACTGTACTTCTACCAGTCTAGAGAGACAGTAACTGAACTCAGAGCAGCTGTTAAGGAGAACATTCAGTATCTTGTGTGACTATAAAGGAATTAAAAGACTCATTTTACAGTGCATTTTAATTAAAAGTTCATTATAAGAATTTTCTTTTAAGAACAGCATACTACATATTAATGGAAATATGCAACTTTATCTTACAAATGGGACTGTCACCATATTATTCTTACAATTCAAACATATGAAAAATAAAATATGATATTTAGCTTTATAAATTCCCCCTCCCACCTTTAAATCCTTTTTCTATTAAATAACAAAAGTATTAACTCTTTCCTGATACAGTGCATTTGCTATCTGCGAGCCACAAACCAAATAGTCACATCAATGCCAAGGAAACAGCAACACTGTTTGCAAAATACTGAGAGAAAATGATAAAAAATATAGTAGTCAGCCCAGTGCTTACAGAAGAGACAGTCAACAAGAACTGAAAAACCAGCACATTTTCATATTACATAGGACCATTATAGTAACATAGAAAACAGTGCAGAAGACTTATGTTGGAAAATATGTAGCGATTCTCAGCAAGCAGAAACTGAACTTTGGCACTTGCTCATAAAAAGGCCTTTCAAAGCAAAACGGAAATTCACTTAATCACAGCTTGTATATTTAAAAAAAAATGAAGACATTGACTAAAGCAAGAGAAACAATAGAGAAAAGTTTTAAGCCAGGTCACTATGAATTCAGTACATTCAGCCTACAGAAGATACAAATACAATCTTTCACCCATCCATCTACACTGGGATCCTGGCTAGCGAAAGACAGGCTTTGGGACAGAACCTTACCTGAAGCATCTCTATTTCAACGGCACTAAGCCGATTACACAGCCCATTCTTCAAATTGAACTAGAATAGCCTGTCTCAAATACATTGCCTCCTTATCATAAAATAAGGATTTCTAATCTGCAAATTAAAAAGCAAGACCCTTGCACTCAGACAGTGGCTGTTCTGCTCTACCCATAGTTGCACCATAACCACTGCAGTGTAAGGATTAAGTGATTTCTTTAAAAAGGGCTAAAAAAGAATGGCTTCAATTCAAAGGGGAGGCGATAGACTGGGAGGAAGGATTTGCACTTAGCCTGTTAATCTTAGTGCTTTGTCAGCACTGCACGTTATCAAAAGGAATACTATAGATAACATGTGCAGGGCTGTTCTCCTTCCCTACCAGAAGAACTGATGTACTAAACTTGGGCCTAACGAAAAGGCTGCTGCAGGCCAAAGCATGTTTTTGGATCAGGCCATAAGAAAGCAAGGGCTGCTCTAGCCAAGAAGTGCTCCTGCCATTGTCAGGCTCAGTGCCCCAAACTAGCAGCTATCTTTGCACTGAGGCAGTTTACTCAATTTTTTTTACCCTTCTGAGGAGTTAAGATTGGGGAAGGGCAGAGAGAAAAGTAAGTGCTTTAGATTGCACAGAAGATTGTCCTACTAAAAGGGGGCACTTGAATGGGAAACGGTTGCAGCTATAAATCTAGCAGACGCCCTTCA